CGTTAGAAGAAACTAAAGGCCTAGGGCTGAGTGGCTCACAAAAACAGGGGCTCATAGACCGAGGTTCCAATATACGTCTGCCACAACTTGCTGTGCCGCCGAGCCGGGACATTCTTGCGATAGATAGAACCAAGGCAGGTTCATAGTGATTGTACACCTCGTTTCATGCGCACTACGTGTCATGGAGCACCAGATGAGTGGCGATCCCTCTCCGAGTGGTGTTGCCGATCCCAAACAGGGGTTGGTTACACGTAATCGCGCGGTCCGCGGAGTTGGGTGACCGCGCCATAAAGCGGGCGCTCTACATGAGACAGATCTTTTCGCGTGGATCGGCTCGATCATACGCTGGATCCAGCTCGTCTTCGCAGATGGGGAGCGCCTAGCGAGCGCGCTTACAGAAGCCATAGCTGCTGGTAAGTAAGCACGATCTGTCGCAAGGCCACCTGAAGAACGCGCCGAATCAGCTATACAGAGTCAAGGGTTCTGCTAGCGACATGGCTCGGGGCTACCAGCATGATCCTCTCCTGTATAGGGGACCAGTGTGTTAGAGATGGACACGCTTTGAGTCGGCCGCACTTACATGACCGGTAACCATTTCGGGTGGCTCGCCGAGCCATTTGCACCGTTTGTAGTCCCGTCCCCATGCCGGTTCCTAGAAAGGGATGTAATTCAGACGCACGCGACCCCCACGGAGCATGGCTAACGAGTCCACACGTTTTGACTCGATTACTTACCATAGGACGCAAATCAATGCGTAGGGCCACGCCTTGATGCTCATACTGCCAGCCTGGCTCGGCAAAGAGGGCCACCAGGGAATATCATGCTGTATATTACTTATTTGTACTGAGAGAGGCATGCTGGTATAACTGGCGATAGGGCAATGTTAGCTACTTTTGATGACAACGTTTTCGTGCGAGAAAGTTGACAGCTTACTGTTGAACGTTGAACGTTGAACGTTGAACGTGTGACATGAAAAACTTGAACGCTGACCAGTTCTGCCCCTGACAGACGCTTGCAACCAATAGGCGCTTGACGGGCACCACAGCGCTTGACAGTTCTACCCTCGCCAGGCTAACCTAGGGCTAGTCCAGTCGGGCAGAAAAGTAGCACTATATGCTGCAAGTGAGCGTATACCTTTAAGTAAGCTCTCCTCACGTAGGACGAGAATATGACGGTATTCAGTCCCGTTCGAGTGACTGGAACAGTCGTGATGAACACAAGCCATGATGCGGAATGAACTTAGTCTCGGGCCATCAGGGAGAGGCTGTCCTCCAGCACGGCGCAAGTACGGCGTAACGGCGGTTATACACTGAATGGTCGCCTACTCGTGATATGTGATGCTGAGCCCTGGGTCACTGTGCATTTATCTGCGGTACGTTACTATGGCGTCCTACGTTCATCCTTGCAAGAAGACCCTAGATCCTCCCAAGCGACAAAAGCACGGATTCACATCGCCTATATTGACATGGGAGTATGCTATCGTATCTGTCACACAGCCTGACAAGGTATAATCGGAAGATGATCAGAAGCCGGCTGTGCGGATATCTGCCTTGCCATAAGGATGCTGACAGCGAATAATGGCTCGCTCTCGCCCTTCCCCCCACCCCCCACCTTTGATAAGAATCGCTTAAGGCCTTCGTCTTTCTTCATCCACCAATAACCTTGTAATCGATACCCTTCTTGTTCAAATTCAAAGCCATAGCCCGAATCACAAGACATGTTGGTCAATAGACATGCGATCAAGGCATCGTAAATATTGTGATACTTCTATTGTACATGTCTCACTAGGAAGTGCGACTCGCTAGTAATCTACAGGGGAAAGGCACAGCCAATCAACAAAAAATGTGAGCATTCGAGTATCTGGGACACACGCCAACATATTGCGATGATTCTTTCGTGAATCAATAACCGAAGTCGTCGTAAGCTCATGCTGATGAGTGTGTGCGCTGGCTAGAAAACGCAGCCCTGGCAATACCTCAGGCGGACGCCATTCGGTACAACTCTAGACAGAGAATATTCTATCTCCTGCCAAACTTCACTGTCCTCCGGCCCTTCCCCTACAACGGCAATCACGACCTCCTTGAGAGCGGTGAAACGGTGAAGCACTGCATCTAGGTCACACCACCTCGTCTGCTTCAGTTGGCCCCACATGTTGCGGCAGAGGCCGTTTCCGGGGACGACGACCACGAGCCTGAGACGGCGGACGGAGCACGCCGGCACGCTCTGCAGGAGCGCCAAGTTGAGCAGCCACTGGGTGTGAACGGCGGAGGAAGCGCCGGGGACGAGGGTGTGGCAAAGGGTGAGTGAAGAAAGGGAAGTGCAGGACCGAATGTGCAGTGCTTCGCAGAGAGCGTCGACTGGAACAGCCACATCGGTCAGTTCCGCTTTCAGCACTCGCGCAACGCTCACGAGCTTACCGTGTGTCTTGCCTAGGGAGAGCGGGGTGAGCCAGCGTACAGTGAGGTCCTCCAGCCTTGTGCCGATAGTGGAAAGGCAGTCCCCCGCCGGCTTGAAAGTGTCTTGGTTTCGGACGTGAAGCACGGCCTCGCGGAAAGCTGTCGACGGATCTGCCGCGGCCTGCAGCGACTCCACGTCCTTCGGCGCCAGGCGGAAGACGCTGAAGTCTACGATGCGCACGTTGGACGTGGGTAGAAGACGCGTGCTCGGCGGCGGCGCGGTGCGGAAGAGGAGGTCGTTTCTGGGCAACGCCAGCTGCACGTCGGTCTTGCCGCGCAGGACGGCCAACCGGTCGTCTCGATCCGTAACTGGGGGGCTCGGGCGCGTAACATAAAAGTACGCGTAAGCGTCGTCTGCGGGAGTGAGAAATGCGCGCGAGATATCATAGGGCGCCCAGAGGACGTGTCTGCACGAGATCATGGTGACATTTGGAAAGCAATGAAGGAGCAGGGGGAGCTGCGAATAGTCGAAGACTTCGAGAGGTCTCTGGCTGGCGTGGGCAGCAGCCCTGGACTTTGGAGGCCCAAGCAGCAGCACAACGGCGTCCTTGTGTGTCGCCGACGAAGAGGCAAGCGATAGCTGCGCTGTGTTGGAGATTACTTTGGTCGTATGGGAAGTCTGCATGGGTAGGTCGAGAGGTGAGCTGGCGAAGGTGGGGAGGTGAGCCCGAGCACGCGTCTTTACTTAAAGACAAAGACCTGGCAGATCGGGCGAATCTCTAACCCTAAACATGGAGCACCAAGCCTTTAAAGCTTAGACATTTGATGTCGGGCCTCAGCGGGCCTCCCTCCGCTTCCTGAGTAAATGGATAGCACTTGCCATTTTAGCCTTGTGTCTTCTGCCTGAACAGCGTATCCATGAAAGCCTCTCTCGCATTCTTCTGTGAAGCTTCCCCGACGATATACAGTTGAGATTCAGAGTTAGCATGGTACGTGAAATGTAGTGTGAAGCTATGTTCAACAGTGGTTCAAAACACGCACCGGAGTGTTCCTGCTCAAGCAATGAGCCGAGACGGCCGAGAGCGGGCGAAATCTGTGGAGCACAGGGTCAGCCACACCGTAGATACTGATATTTCCGTAACGGAGATTTGGCCTGCGGCACACTTTACTGTTTGAAGCGTTTGCCTTTGGCTGTGCTTGCAATAGCGTTCACGGCCGGCATTAATAAGGTGTGACAAAGTCCGCGTCGTATAGGCGGATTGAGTGGAGATCAGAAGGGGTACGAAGGACTCTGAAGAACGCCACACGGCGGGAGGACCGGAGCGCTAAGGTAAGCGAAGTCATCCTGCGGAAAGCTCCGAAGTTCCACCCCGCTTGCCCCCAACGCTCCTGGATGTAGGTGAGATACGAGACTAAAATGAACCCGTTCCATGTGAATTTTGACTCGGACGATGGCCCTCCGACACGAGGTCGTCTGGAACCATTTTGGAGGATAGTTTGCTGTGCAGTAGGGAAGACGCCCATTCCGGATTCAGCCGCGAGCCGCTTTCGGGGATTGTTACGCCACGCAGCGAGGATACATCTTGCAGCTTGAAGTGCTCAAATGCGGGAAAGGGTCTCATGTGCATTGTCATGTGCACTGCCGAATAACCAATGGAAGATCCATGGTGCGCGAAAGATTCCCGGAACCCCATAGGCTACGGCAGCGCTTGATTTCGAGCTCTTCTGGGCAACGAAGGACTACAATGCCAGGCACAGCCGGCGGCAAGTTCCAAGTCGTGCTGCGCCGCACCGTTCCGGATGAACTAGCATAAATCCGATTCTGGGGGGAAAAAGTGGCGTCACTAGAACCTACTTCCTGCTTTCCAGACGTCTGATTGGCACCTACCGCGAGAAAATAGTTTGCCTCCCATCGGACCTCAGGCAAGCGCACAGCATTAATATGCACGTCTGGTTGCGAACACGAGACAAAAAACGTACACAAACGAATAAACTGTCCATATAGCGTGTCATTATCGCTCTCACCGCTCAGGCCTAAACTATGTCCCTCAGGCGCAGCCCGATGTTGGCTCCGATGGCCGCCACGAGCAAGAGCGAGAGCACCGTAGGGCCATATTTGTCATAGTACATGCCTTCTGCGTGGCGGTTCCGGATGCTGTACGCGCGGTAGACGAAGATGATGGCAGAGTATGCAATGGCGGCGAGGGCAGCGAAGGTGAAGAGCGCCGCACTGATGAGTCCGGCAGTGTCCTCGGGCTTGATGAAATTGAGCAGGGTCGTCGCAATTGTCCCGATGTAAATTGCGAAGTGGAGCCATTTCTGCGGTGGAAGCAGCAAGCATCGGTCAGGGTGCATGTACAGGAAAGAGCCAAGGCTGTGCAACGCACCAGGAAAGTCCGTTCGGTGGCAAAGTAGACTTTCGGCTCTATCCGCACAGGCACCGCGATCTTTTTTCCAGGAGGTGCACGCCAGTTCCGCTCTAGCAAACGTTCGCTGTCACGCATCGCCCTCTGAGACGGTCCTACTTGCTCCTCTTCGTCTTCCGCTTCCTCCACCGCTTGTTCCCGGGCACGTTGCCGTTCTGCGTCCTCGCGTAAACGATCCCGCAGGGTCTCATCGAACGCCGACGACGGCGCTAGCGGGTCGATCGAGACTGCGCGGACCTTGGTGTCCTGCCCTGCGAGCGCCCTGCTTGACTGTTTGCGCTGCTTGAGGAACGGCGTGCGTTCATCTGCTTCGATCTCATCGTCCGCATGTTCCTCCTCGTCATCATCCAGAGTGTCGCGGGCCTTGACGCTCTGCTGCGGCTTCGTGCTTGTCTGTTGCTCCTGCCGCTCGCGCTCCTTCAAAGCCTTCTCGCGGAAGGCTTTCGCCGCGGCGACATCCGACGCCTCGAGGCCAGTGCGTGCGACTTCATCTCTGGCTGTGGCGGATGAGACAACTAGCCTGATATCCATCGCGTGAGACATACCTGGCGCTAGATCCAGCGGCTCGTCTTCCTCGCCTTCTGATACGGGCTCAGCGTACGTTTGCGGTGGATGTTCAGGCGTAAGGACACCAGACGACCCTGAAGCTTGTCGTTCAGACCCGCTAGTGCCTCGTGATGAGCTATGAAGTGGGCGCTCAATCTGCAGGGCCCCAGTGTCGGGCTTCAGTATATCGACGTCCACTGCACCGTTTCAGCAATCATGTCGTGCGCTGAGAGGAGCTTGGATTACTCACTTTGGGGGAGCCAGAAAGGCACGAGGTCTACGCGCTCGGGAAGGAGGGTAGCACAGCCGTGAATGAATTTACTAGGAGGTACGTCATCAGAACGTCATTGCTCATGTCTCGCATGAAACAACGCTACCTGAACTACATCAATAGACATCATGAGTATACAAAATAAAACAATTTGATTCGGAAGCCCGGGCTCACCTTGGGCACGGCCTCGACCAAATGAGACGACACCAGATCAGTGACCCAAGGCGGGGGTTCCTGACCATACTGTGTTTGGAGTTTCACTTCCAGAACACCATACCTAAGCAGCATATGCATCAGCACGCGCAGAATATCCAACTCCGCGAAATGCAAGCACGCACTTGAATAGCTCTTTATCGCCTGGCGGCAGCTGTTCGAAGGGCCAATCAACCCCGATGCCCGTCCACCGCCAGTTGTCGCCTGAACGGGTCTTGCCGTCCCAGTCATCCTCTCGGACCATCGTTAGCTCCGTGTCAAGGGAAATGCGCACGCGCGCATCGCCTGGAAGCTGGAACGCTGTGCGGTTATAAAAGGTGCGCATCACTACAAAGTATATCATTAGCGCATTCTGTTCGTATGGAGCTTTCCCGTGGAAGGCTTACCAGGCACAAGCTTTTTCGTCAAGATCGAATACTGAATCTCGTTAGCCAACTGAATCATGCTGTCGACTTCCTCCTGCGTCTTCTTGCCTTTTGCAACAAACTGCTGGAACTCATCGTCCATAGTGTATTCGCCCCGTAAGAACGCGTTGACAAGGTGCTCTTTGATGGAAAAGCGCGCTTTGACGGATTTTTCACCAGTCCAATCTTCACGGTGAGTCTTGCGCTCAACGAATATCTAGGAAGCACTTTGAGCATAAGCCTGAAGGGAAGTTGGATCAAGAGACTAACCGTCTTTTGGTCGACATCGCCATACCATCGCAGACGAATAGCCTCTGCACCCTCTGTCTTCTCCAGACGACCGAGATAGAGCTCGAGGTCTTCGTTGTCGAAATAGATAGAAGTGATTGCTGCAACCTGATATGAATATCTAGCTCGGGAGGGTACATTGCATCTGTCACTTACCAGCATCCTTCGGCTCAAACTCCTTATCCGGGTTAAAAACTGCGACATGTCAGTTATAGCTGAAGGCTGGAAGGCCAGTGCCATACCAAGGACAGGAAGGTGCTTGAGGATAGCGAGCTTGAGATGAACGAGGTTATCTGGATGGACCTGCAAGCTACAATGAGGACTAGTCTTTGGGATCGGTGAAGACATACCCAATATTTTGTCGTCTGGCGTACAAAGGCGCTTTGATTTCCTCCCGCACTAGAATCGCCCTGTACCGGGTGGCCTCTCGTGCGTACAAGATCGTACAACTTTGACAACTTGACGATTAAGCTATCCCAGTTATACTTGTAGAACGGACGTTTCTCCAGATAGTCTTGGACGAATATGGTCTTGAGCGGACGACCGGTTTGTTTCTACATGCAAGAGTTCAGTGAGAAGTTCAAAGTAGTTACAGAGTCCGAACCTACGTCATGTTTCTGTGAATCGCTCGCGTGAGTAGCGTTCCTCATATCAAAGTAGCGGCTTACCTTCAATATCTTCATAAATCCAGTGATGTTTAGCTTGGTATATAGTGCGAGATCATGAACGTCCGCGACTAGGGTAGCGACTTCCTCCTCAAGAAGCAAGAACTGGTCCTCCAGCGCATCGACCGATTGTAGATCGTCCGTATCCAATTCATCTTCTGTGTCGTCGTCCGAGCCGGCGTCCTGCGACACGCTATGCCGGCGTTGCTGAGCTTCCGTATCCGTGATATTCCGCTGGTGACCGTTCTCTCGGCTCGCCTGGCCGTCGCTGCTGGTGTTCTCAACATACTCTTCCGTTACAAGTCTTTTGACAGCCTTTTCTGCGTCCTTTATCCGCCGTGAAAGCTCTGTGGTCTGGAAGGAAAGTACATTGAATGATCATTATACGTGTTAAGATAAGATTAATGACACACCTTGGCCTTCTGGAAGTCGTGAATCTTATCAAGCTCCTTCTCCAATAGTGCGATGAAGTCACGTTCATCCAGCGCGTTCCAGGCGTGGGACGTTGTGCGAGTCTAGAAAGCGAGATATGTGAGCAGTTGTTACGGTGATCCTACGGAAGGCGCCGCAGAGAAAGTTGAAGTAGGGGAAGCCGAGCGAGCAGTATGCAGAGAGAGTGAATGAGAAACATCCGGCATGCGTTCTGGTATAATTGCGGAAGCCTTTGTAGAATAATTGGGGTATCATGGTGGGCATTGGGAGGCGGTCCGACGAAGTATTAGGTGTCACACGACCACTAATGAACGTTCGATGGCGGAGGTAGATGGGTAAACAAGGCGTATCAAGCACCATGGATTGAAATAAGAGCCGCTTTGAAGTAGCCTGCCATGGTACAGTCACGATTGGTTGGTGCCTGAATCTGGGTGGGCAGTCGCTGACCTCAACGTTGCGACATCACCTTGCTCGTTGAATATCGATAGCAGACCTGAAGTCCTCGGCGGTCTTTCCTCCTTACTCGCTGCTCGCCTCATCCATTGTTGTCCTTAGAATCCATCGCTCCCACTGCCTGCTGCCACACCAGAGTCGCTTAGATGACATGAGATACGACGTACTTTTAATTCTCGCTTCAACAAGTTGTAGTCCAGATAATACGACCTCCACTCATTGTACAGGTCTTGCTGCGCATTATGTGAGCCTTGGGGCACCCAAGCACTACAGGGAGTACGCACACTTATTTTCCGACCAAACTTCATGGCCCAGGGTGAAGGGAAGACTCGGTGGAATGAGGAAGAGGTGAGAAGCGAGCCTGGCAGCGAGTGCAAGGGGGAGAAGCCGCTTTTGGAAGGCTGCTTGCCGGGACGAACGTGCGTCGAATGCATTTTGGCGTCACAGACACATGTGACGTCACGCGAGGATCACGTGCTATCAAACGTTGCGTCGCGACTTTTTTTCACAGGGTTTTGTCCTTTCTTTCCTTTTTTGTTCAACATCACGATAATAGTGCCCTTGCAGCTGGCTTGGGATCTAGGATGCCATGGACAGGGTTATTAACATGACTGTAACCGACCAGGCGATGCTCAGTTACTCTTCTACTACGACCAGCCCAGAACTCGACCTCGAGTTCACTTGGTGACATTTGTCGATTACATGTCTGCTTTAGCCAGGCGGTGAAGATTTGGTACCGACAATGTCAGCAATGCTCACAAGCCGGGCGGTGAAGATTTGGTACCGACAACGTCAGCAATGCTCGCAAGCCAGAAACGAGATCACACCACGCACAGCACATCACAGCCGTTTGCAAAAAGCTTGTTACTTCAACAGAGGGAAAAGAATAAAAGAAAGAAACCCAAGGCAGACAGGCGCCCTTTGCTCATTGGCTCGGACTGATCGACAAAAGCGCTCCGACATAAGCATGCCGGATAGACGTCGCTGTCTAACACAACAGCTAGTATTCTCAAATTTACAAAAATATTCCAACACGCCGCAAACGTCAAGTTACGTATTATTGAATTTTTTGGCATATATTAAATGCTGATAATGATGGGTACCGCTGAATTGCAAAGGCACCTAATGATAAGTGCTAGCCGGTCTCCCTCCTGTCGACAGTGACAAGCCTTTTGCAAACGGCTGTAATCGCTACTATTTCGGGTCATCCGCACCTCAGGCTGACACGCTGGTTCCTGTCTACCTGAAACCCCGAACCGGGCGGCGGCGGTGGCACGAAGCAGTCTGGTCAGCGGACAGACGAGACCATGGAGCAGGCGCTTTCATGATGCGACTTCGTGGGCAGACATGTCAAAAGTGCACCCTGTGTGGTTCGCGATGTGCCCTCAAGGCCTCAAGCTCAACGTTTAACCTGCAGCGCACAGGTAGCATGGGATCGTGGTCCCCACGGAGCGCAGCGACCGGACATGGCTGGCGAATCTATCCACACTAGCAGCTATCACACACTGCTCCACCGGTTCTCAAGCACACAGTCCATACCCCTCTGCTGATTTTACGCGATGATTCTGATAAACTATATGCTCACATTTCTCTGTAGAACGTCGTAGTCTAGAAGCGGCTGGACGGCCACTCATGACCATAGCGCGGCCATCAGCATACGCCGCTTTGTACACTGCTTCTGATACACTGGCACGCGCTTAGACTATAGGAGACTAAAGACAAAGGGAATCTCACGATATGCGAGAGCAAGCCGAGTAAGGTGAATGGTAGAAAGGAGGCAGAGGAACTCAGAGAGCGCGCGAGAGCTCAGAAATGATCGCGAGATAGCTTCAGCGACCGGCAAGGGTGCTGTCCACTTGCCGAGACCTCCGGAGCCTGAGACAGACGCGAGGTTAGTAAGAAAGGCGCAGGAGGCACGATACGTGGACAAGTTGGCCATAGAGTCGAGTGGAGAACATGGAGAGTCGTGCCAAAGATGCAGTCGCAAACTCAGAATATGATAAAAACACGGGATGTGAGTTTTTCTTCTCTTTCCCTCTCTTATTCTCAGATATACTACAACATGTCCTATGCAGCGTGCAGTTGAGCAAAACAGACTACAGAAAAGGCAAAGAAAAGTGTAAAAGTTTGGTAAACATGCAGTATCCATGTGTGAAGGGACCGGCGGCGTGTTTTTAATAGAACAAGTGGGAGGATTGCTTGACAACACAGGCTAGTGGGGCAGGGGCGCGGGCGGAATGGTGCTCTATATTAACTGAGGAAGAGTGCGGTTGCCGTGGCGTCAGATGTCTAGTGCGGGCGGGTCGCGCTCGAAGGAGCTGATGGCAGGAGTGCACGCGTACTAGAGCGCGTCACTTCCACTCGCGCCCCGTCGTGGTCATTATCGTCGGCCATCGGTAGACCGTCCGACTCCCTATGCTCGATCACTGCCTGCCCATGTGATGCATACCTTCTCGAAGCGCGCAAATCTTGCCGTGAGCATGGGCCTGTGGACTAGCCCCAATCTGATTTAGCTGCATCATAACAAGCGTCCACGCTAGCTTCTCTCCGAGTCCGTCACAGTCACAGCCACAATATTTGTTCCCAGAGGACAGACCGTCGAAGGGTTGTACCTAAGTACAACTTTGCCCCCCTTTTTTTCCGGTGTTCTACAGGCTACCCGACGACCATCGCGATTTAGTTAGTAGGCGTGAACGAGGGAGCGAATGCTCTAGGCGAATGCCTCGCATTAGTTGGCGCGGCGCGTGACGGTGCCCTGATGGCCCAGCCCGAGCTCAGGAACACTCCCGCGAGAGGGTGGCGTCCTACGTAGGCGCCAGAGAAAAGGCCGCGCTTGATGGTGGCGCCCCCGGCGGTCACAGCGAGTCGGCGCCAGTACTGAGTACCAAGTACTAAAAGCCATCTTAGAATTATGTCAGCTACAAGTTCCGATATAATTAACTGCATGGGGAAGAACTCATAGTAGAACGGACGGGGGAGTTACCAGACGTGGCGGACGGCTGGCCCTCGACGAGGTCATCGGGGCCAAAAATATACATGGTCGGGCGGGTTTAACTCCTGATTTAGCAGAGGCTCCTATACCAGCTGTTGTATGCAATTGCGAGCATGCAGGTAGTAGCTCTGAGGAGCCCTGTGTACTCATAGGGAGGAGAGGAAGTGGGTCCGGGGGAGGTGCGGGGAGATTCGTTGAAGGAGCTGGCGGCATTCTATCGTCGACGTAGGTTGGTTGACCGGGTCAATGATTCCATATCAGTGAATGAATGCACCGGGCGTGTCCGTACCCGGCTTTCTTTCTAATCGGCGAGCTGCACTGCGCCAATAGGATTGTGTAAATGGCGAGCAACGACGACCCAAACCTGGTATGAGATCCGGAAGAAGGCAACAGTTATCGCTGCCAAGTCTGGCGCGGAAGGGTTCTCAGCTGCATATGACCGGGATACGCCATCAAAGAGAGATCAATATGCACAAACAAGGGATTCAATCAGTTCAAGACTTGCACGGCGCGTACAGTGAGGCATTTCTCCGGACACAGCCCGATCCCTGAAGAAGATCATGGAGAAAGATGGATATTTATTTATTCGGCGTATGACTCGGCCCATATTATCTCAAACTCCAGCTCGCATCCCTTCGCCATGAGACAGCAGAGTATCCCAGAGCTCGATGATCATATTATCGACTTCCTTCAGGACGACAAGAGCGCACTCCTTGCCTGCTCTCAGGTGTCGCGAGGCTTCAACGCGCGAAGCTGGCATCATCTCTTTCACACTCTCGTCATCACCGACGGGGTCCACTTGAAGCGTTTCCTTCTGAGCCTGCGCGAGCTGGCATTCCGTAGTCACGTCCATAGGCTCGTCCTCGGCCGCCAGAAGGGTCGTTGCGCACCTCACACTCAGGAGCGCCTCCAGCTCGACACACACAGTATCTTGGAGATCCTCTCAGAGTTGCCAAACCTAAACGTGGAAAATATCACCGTCGGGAACATTTGCTGGTCCGTCGTTGACCTCTTACCTGCCCATAGTACTCCCACCGCCAGCTCGCAGTCACCCATCTCTAATTGCGCATACGTATCATTTACCATTCACCCTGGCACGACCCACGTGGGAACGGGGCGCGGGAAGATATGCGCCTTGCCTGACGACGTCCTGAGCGCCGATGCGACCGCCTCAGTCACAAATCCAAAAACCCCCGTTGGGATCCGGCTCGTCGAGATCACGGCGTTTCCGCTCTCTGGCGGCTGCACTTGGATTACAGGAGCGGAAATGAGTCCTCGATCCCTCAACGTTAGTGAGATCGTATTCCACGTCCGAGATCCAAACCTGCTCGAGCCAGCCGCCCATCCGACGCTGGTGGCAGTAATGAAGAGCGTCCAAGCCGCGGCCGTCCGCTGGCTCTTGCCTGCGAACTTGACGACATTCAATGGTTAGCAGCGCAGCATACTTATCCCTTCACACACCTGGCTGACGTCCAATCTTACAGCGGATAGGGTCGCTCAAGAGCTCCTGCTCGCATCTGCCGCATCCTTGGATTCATTCACGCTCTGGACCACGCTGAATCCGTCTGGTCTGTCGCTCACCATCCAGCAGTGGGCTGCGAACCTGGCGCTGCTGCGGCTAGTTCCGCCGAGTCATATCGTTCGCATTGGCGTCGGTGTCCTCTTCGATGGCAAGGGATTCTGCGAGGACGCTCTGGCGCAGGTTAAGCAAGTGAGGTGGCGCAGCCTGCTTGACGTCCTGGATCGTTTCCCAGCACTGCATACAGTCGAGGTCTCTGTGGTGGATAAGGAGGGAGCGGTAGACGATGAAATTTGGGTGGTCCTATGGGAGGTGTTAGACAGCGTGAGAGCTCGAGGAGACGGCGTGCGCTTGGTTCGCGGTAAACCTAGGATACTTTAGAACTTAAGCTGAAGACACACAAGATGGTTTGCTATTTCCAACTTAGAGCCTCACGAGTGATAAGAATGTAGTGCCGCGAACGCCTATGTTATTCAGCGCGCACTCGAGGGAGGTTATATGACTCGTCGAGGGTGAACACGCCGGCCGACTGTAGGCGCGTATGGGCGTCCCGATCAGGTATATGTACGTCTCTGACGCGCTTTGATGGCGCTTTGATGCGCCCAACCAAACTCGGGCTTTGTCCTGAACCACGACATACCACAAGCCACCTGGTGGCATTAATATCAGGCTCTATCTTACACTGCCTTGCACTCTCCAACCTCACAAAGTCATAATGTAGACTCATCCTTTGGCCTATTCGATGGCTTTGGAGGGGTACTTAGTAACGACTGAGCCACGATTGCGAGTACAGTGGTACCGCAAGCCGAATTTATGGTTAATATGTGGTAAACACCTTGCGTGTCATACTCGCGAACTAGGTTTACACGAGTTGATTGGCTTTAGTCACAGGGACTACGCACGAACGGTTTCACGTTGGCTGTGATTTCTGTTGGATCATTGTGTACTGCCATCATGGAGGCAATGTTCCTCTGCACGTATGTCGGCCTGGAAGGTGATGAGGCCTCTCACGCATCGTAACCTTGGAGGTCCGCAGTTACATGACAATCCGCTCCAGCTAGAATGCAAATTGCAGACTAGACGTCACCACGCATGAATACAGAAGGCCATGGTCTCGGTGTGTGTTACGGCGTGTTTGATACCCATGACTATCTGGCGAAGGATGCAGTTTCTGAACATCATGAGTTGCTGAAGGTTTGGAGGGAAGGGGACGCCATTTTGATGCATGCAGATCTGTTAGTCAACTCAGTCTCATCTGGCTCCGGCGCCGGTGGTGCCAGTTTAATTCACCATTCGCTCGTGACGACCGGTGTGGCTGGCCCACATCTCCGGACTGAACATTCACAGCGCGCGAAAAAAAACCCCCCTAAACACTCCATAACCTCGACTCTGTACGTGCTCTCTCCAGATATAATGCACCTCCAGCGCGGACCAGCTGGTGTATTGTTGTAATTTACGCGAGAGTTTGATGACATACACGTGATTGAGCGCCCTAATGAATGTGACCGCGTTATTGCCTTCAACGAGGTGCAGCTCAACACGTTTATAGCTTCCACTGGCCAGCATACTGAAGATCTCTTGCATCCGGGTCCCTCAGTTTTCCTATTCCTCCGTCTGTCGTCGCGGTTCGCTAGCATTCTCCGTGATGTCTCCGAATCCGGGAGCCTTAAATTCCTCTCCACATCTGCAAGATGTTCGCCCGTCATCCGCTCCTCCATTGCCCTCCCGCAGCCGTACAGAACCCGAGGTAGTCTCATCGACGCCAACGGATCCCCCTACTCATCGAGCAGTACATCGAGTGCTCAGTGAAGCCGGAAACCAGCAGTCCAAAGCTCAAGCAGTTCCCGAGGATCTCGATATAATGCCTCAGCTGCTGCGCTCTGGGCCATCTGTCGTGAAGACGAGGCAGGGGAGCGTGCTTTCTCGTGGGTTTATTCTCAAGACGGATTACTGGCCATCCGGTGAGTCATAAATCGCGTTGGCCCGCCGTATGATTCGAATAGACGATCGACACACCGCTTCGCAGGCCGGGCCCTAGATCTCGAGTTGACCATTCACGGAGCACCCAACTTTCGGGCACCGAAAGATGGTAATCTGAATGTCTTTGGTGTCGCACAGCCTCGGACGCAGGGTCTCAGAGGTATCTTATCGGTACTGAGGTGTCGACCCAATATCTCAAATCCGACTCATGTCATCTGGTTTTCGACTCGTGAAGAGCCAGTTGGTACGAAATTTCGCCATTGTCTTGTATCTATATCACCTGAAGCCGTGTATGCTATCTGTTGTGTCGTGAAGTCTACATCTCCGGCCGTCCGTTTGTTCTCCGCGACGCTGCAGAGCCCCGAAGAACACTGAAGATGTCCGATCGGGCGGAAAATCTTGAAGCCATTGAACAGCGTCTGAAGAACGACATCCTCGTCGAAGCTCAGAAGTACGTTCAGCTGCTATGTTGCCAGGGCCATGCTCACAGCACAAAGGTATGGCGGATTGATCCTGACCCACAACGAAGTTGGTGAGCATGAAGCCTGCTAAGATGTTCTCTTGACTGAATGCTGAATCGTTTCCCGGAAAAGCTTCCGATTCGAGCGACGGTGCTATCCTACCGACATGGACGGCTGTCGACATCGCAAATGTTAGAACAATGCGTGAGCTTATGGAAGGCATGCGTCGAGACGGCTGGAATGTAGACGTGCGTATATGTGCTACTATCTCTTCATCTTCGGATCTGACAGCCAACTCGACAGTATCATCGGTGAGTTGCACAACTACATGCGTGCGAATGTAGGTTAATCGAGGAGTGGCAGAATTCCCATCTCACCAGACCGTCCTATCGAGGTCTGTTCCGCGCTGTGAGAACGTGCTTTTGGCCCTGTTTGACTCCATCTCATTGCAGGACAACTATCTCGACGCGTATACCCATGTGATCAAGAACACAGACCCGCTTAAGACCGCGTTGATCTTTAATTGCGGCCAAGGTGCTGTTAGAACAACGTTCGCGATGGTGGCGGCCTGCATACTTCGCAGAAAACAGCTCATCGAACAGGGCTTCGACGATCCTTTTGCGGGAAAAGTCGGTACTGGACGTTCTGGCGTCAGCACCGTCAGTACTTTGCATGTATATAGACTGGTCCTCGGGTACTCATTTCCCTTGCAGCCTTCCGGCGGTCAGGTGGCGGACTTTCGTCTGATACAGTCCCTGGAGCAAGCTACTTTACAGCAAGAGTTGAACAGATCGTTATTAAGGATAACGTTCATTCTTCAGCAATGTATGTGATTTCCAGCCTAGTCATTCTATTCGCCATACCGATATATCCCTCCTCACTCTTAGGTCTACAGGCATCGAATTCACAGTCCGGGATAGAACTTCTACTGACAAGGCCAGAGTTGCTCAACAGCCTCAGGAAGGCGCATATGGGCAACTATGGCATAATTCTCAGCTTGCTCGGTTGTCTCGAGCACGGTCTCAAGGCAAAGAAGCTGGTTGATATCGTTGTTGATTCCTGTTCGTAATTGCTTTGTGTCCCGAGCAAAGTCTTTGCTTACAAATGTACTCCAGGTGACCAGGTTACGAACTTACGAGAAGACATCTTCATGCACCGGATACGATACTCATTAACGTCTAGTATGGACGAGGGGGAGCGAGATATATTCTTGGACAAGGCGGCCAAATCCCTAGAGAAATAGTACGCTGTCAAATATTACAAAATCATGCTTAGGAGACTAATTGCGTGCGCTAGCTTCTTCATAATTGCATTTGCTAATTACGTGGAAACAGAGGCCAGCCTTAAGCTAGGCTTTTCCAGCTGGCTGAAGGCAAGTGTTAATCGTTTGTTTCCTCGGATCATAAGTTAACCCATTGATTTTGCAGACGAGGACCGAGATTTGGAAGTAAGTTCAGTCTGAACCTGAGTAATAATCAGGGTTAATCATGCGATTTAGCCAAATCATGTTCTTGAGGAGAACTCACGGGTCGAAGCTCAACATTTTCCAGCCTATCAGCGATCTTTCAGCGCTGTCTAAGTCCAGTTCTGAAGGTCGCGCACTGGTTGCCGGGCAGAAGAACGACGTCGCCATTGCGGGAGGTCAAATTTTGGGCGACGAGTACTCAGACCACGTCGTCAAGGTTGGGGAACTTCATTGTAGATGCAGACGCACTGCTGACAAGTAAATACAGAATCGCAGCGGTATCATTCTGCGCGAAGGTACTCTTCTCAAGTCCGACCAGTGGCTCAGGGAGTCTCAGCACGTCTCTGACGGCGTCCGCGGTGCTATAAACTTCCGCAACATCCCTGGAACCAAGATCTACGCCCTTGGCCAGCCGACACTGGAGGCTATCGACGAAGTCGTAAAGCGGGTTAAAGACGCGAACCCGTCGGACGAACAGATTCTCTGGATTACCCTCAGAGAAGAGCCAATCGTATACATTAACGGCGCTCCGTATTGTCTACGGAGGGAGAGGTTCACTCTTCGTAACATGAAAGGTACGCCTTCAGCGATATCTCATGTCTAAACTGGAATATCTAACACCCACACTAGACTACGGTGGTATCTCGGCTTCTCGCCTCGAGGTCCTCGAGGAAAGGTTGCGTGACGACGTGACTGCCGAATTGACATCCTTTGGCGGAAGGCTATTATTGCACACTGAGACCCGCGATGGCAACGTCATTCCAGTCTGGGAGGAAGCCGACACGGATAGCGTCTCGGGCTTGAAAGACATTATGGCATCTCGCAAGGATGTTGGCGGGGCTGAGCTCAAATACGCCCGGGTGCCTATCACGGCGGAACGTCCCCCAGATTTCTCGGACCTCACTGATTTGATCGACGTTGCTGTTCGTCATCCCAACGCACCGATAGTTGTCAACTGCCAGCTTGGTCGCGGTCGGAGCACTATGGCGGCTGTAGGTTCAGGTTTTATTCTTTATCCCCACCTGGTCTTTAAGTTTCTCCGCGCAGATTATCCTGATACTCATCCAGAAGTGGCTCGAGGATGCTAGCCGTATCGTGGCGCCCAGCACCCCTTGTCTGACTCGCACACTAACGGCGACGTCTTTGAACGAGAGTACTGAGCTCGCCCGTCCAGACCGTCATTCTTATCAAACCATCAACAGTAAGTCATCTAAATGCTTGCAACTGATCTTGAAGTGACCTCTGCCTAGACCTTCTCCGCGTAATTCGCAAGGGCCCCACGGTCAAGAAAGCAGTCGATGACGCAATTGACCAATGCTCAGAGGTCATGAACTTACGCGACTCGATCGAGGAAGCTCGCAACAGGGCAGAGCAAGCTTCTGACGAGAGACAGAAGCGCTACCATGCTCAGCGGGGATTACACAATTTGCGGAGATATTTCGAGTTGATCGTCTTCCAAGCATATCTGCAAACCATTGAACCTGACACCATCAAGTCTCTACCCAGTATCGAAACTTTCGTCAATGATCGACCAGGTGGGCGCGTTGACTGCACGTTCAGCTGTATTCCTCGTATCTGATAGTATGCACTCAGTCATCAAGACGTTTGAGAAAGAGCTCATGGCTGAAGGTATCCACGCCTTGAAGCCTCTGGAACGAGTTGACGTTCGTGAAGGCATGCCATTGCCGGACGAAGTCAAGCAAGTGGTGGCCAACCGCACTGGCACCATCCTGTCCGCTTCGACCATCCTGAAGAGTGACTTCTTCTCCAACTTACAGAAGATGAGCTTGCCAGAGTAAGTTGTGGTATCCCGGATCTTACAGAGATGTTCCTGATGGTTCCTCGTAGGCGCATTGATGGCTCGCCCAACTTCCGTCGCGTACCTTTGATCTTGCGCCGAATACACTCGGGCACTGCTTCTCCGTCTGAACAGCCACAGTTTGTGTCCTCAAACGAAGATGACAAATGGGTCTGTGGCAGGTGCGTTATTGAAAGTTGCGCTATTTGATGTGCTTGACGCCTGTCTATAGTGGCATGCCTACGGTTCAGGGACTACGCAGGGCCCTAACACGGGTTGATGCAGGCCCTGACGGTCGTAATGTGGTCTACTGGACGTCACTGCGTGAAGAACCAGTCATTTATGTCGCGGGAAGGCCTCATGTCCTTCGTCTTCTGGACAAGCCCTTGGAGAACGTCGAGTAAGTTTGTGTCTCGTAACTGCTGGGTGATACTTATGTGGTTACAGAGCTACTGGTGTTACCACTGAAGTTGTTGAGAGGATGGAAGAGAACTTCAAGAGGGACGTTCTTCGTGAAGTGCGTGCAGGCGGTGGGCGCATTCTTCTCCACGATGAGGTCGAAGAGCGGCCCGGTGTCTTTGCAATCATCCCGATCTGGGAGGAAGTCTCAGAGGAGGACATCATGACGCCAAGGAATGTCTTCGAGCTCATGGTTAAAGAAGGATACCGCGTCGACTATGATCGCGTAGCTGTGGTAAGTTGGACCAGATTCGCTAGTCATGCTTCCATGCTAAGTGCTGCTCGTTGTCATAGACCGATGAACAGGCTCCTCTGCCGGATGCGCTTCAGCGACTTCTCGAGCGCATCCAAAGAGGTATTGATGCCGCTGGCGACTTCATCTTCAACTGCCAGATGGGCAGAGGGCGCACCACAACTGGCATGGTCACGGCGTGTCTTATTGCTACCACATCGAAATGGGACAAGTGCGATGATCCTCCGTCCCCAGAAGACGCCGAAAACGGAGAGATTTACGACTCCATGGACGGCTACTCCGAGGAGGAGGCTTACCTCCAAGGTAAGTCGCTATGTATATGTTGCTCACGTAGCGGAGCTGACCCTAGCACGGCTTGCCAGGAGAGTATAAGACTATTCTCCAGCTCGTCGGCGTGCTCTCGCACGGCAAGCTTGCCAAACGCTTGACTGACCAAGCTATCGACCTCATGCAAGATGTTCAAAACCTGCGTAAGGCTATCTACGAGTGCGTCTGGTCCGCATCCAGAGCTATCCCCACGTGCTGATCGCTGTTGTAGCTATAAGCTGAAGGTAGATGCAGCGGAGAAAGGCAGCACGAAACAACGCAAGCTCCTCAATGTCGGCATTAACTATCTGTGTGTATCCACTTGCACTCGGGCGAAGTGACGCGACTCATGGATAGGCAGGTACCGCTACGGAACACTCATTATGTTCGCCAACTACCTCATCGAGATGAGAGAGCGCGAAGACGGGCCTGAGGTCTCTTTCTCCGACTGGCTCCACGAGCACCGGGAAATCACCCGTCTGTTGAGCAGACGATCCCTTGACTAAGTGATTAGTTCACATCATGCTCATGTATACCACTGCTGTAGCCGTATTGCGATGTGCTATATATCTTACCCGTCAATGTCCCGCACAGGTTAGGACGAAAACCCAAGCCCGGGCGTATATGGCCTCAAATCTAACAGGAAGTGGTACAGCCACAGTGAAGGGAAATATCTATGTGCAAGTCCTTCCCAGACGAATGGCGAGTGCATCAAAGAACATTAGGAAAGTTAAACGAGTGGACAGGTTACGTAAGGATAGCAGCAGAAACGCTTGAGATACCACCACCAAGCGACGGACAAGCTGGGGCGCAGCAGACATTATGCGGCAGCTTGCATAGAGTAGCGACGTGTCTCCGAGCCTGGGAAGAGAGTCAGACGGTGAGTAAGAAGAATGCATTGACCGAATGGATAATAACAGAGCGCGGACCGATGTGTGCAGATTGGATGAGATGTTTGCAGAGCGGTATCTGTCCGTGAAACCAATCTGTCTAGTAGAACAACCAAGCGATGCTCGAGCCCGAAAAGACACATTATCCTCAGTTCGGATGGTCCAGCCAGCCTTTCCGCTTCTCTCTTCACAAGTATGCCCCTCAATACCCTGGGTGCAGCCCTGGTGGTGCTCCTCCGCCGTATCCATATGTAGCCTGCGGGCCGGGCGACGCCCTGCCTGAGAGGCTCATCGCGGGCCCCGGGCTCGTAGCGCGCGGTGATGGACTGCCTCGCCCCGTCTGATCGGTGAGATACGCGGCTTGAGGCCCAGGTGACCTTCTGCCAGCGTCATATACCATCTGAGGTCCTGGGGACATCCTTCCGGCGTCGTAACCCATCGGCGCTGGGCTCCTGGAGCGGTTGATTTGTGTCATTGGTATCGCCTCACCCCCAGGAATGGAGGTGCTATCGCCATCGGAGAACGTCTGTGGAATAGGCCCGCTATACGGGTCGTAGAATCCGCCTGCGGGGTCGTCACGATATGGCTGGTTGGGGTTTAAGTGTGGTAGGGGCGGTACGGCGTACGGGTCTTGGGCAGCATTAGGTGCGTACAGGTCAACAGCTGAAGTCGCGGCGGAAGGAGCAAAGCTACCTGCACGGCTGTCTGGGCGCGTCAGGTTGACCTGAGAGCTGGTTTCGAAGCCTGCGTTATCTGCACGCTGGGTCGGCAATGCGTGGGGATCGCCGCTGTGGGCGTTCAACTCTGGCCATTTGATTGCTTCGCCTGGAAAGAATAAAGCTCAACGCGCCTGTAGCATTCTGAGTGCTAAGGAAACGCACCATCGTCAAAGTCATCCGAGAACCGTTTCCGAGTGAATTTCCAAATAACGAATGAGATAATGCCAATGAATGCTACACCACCGGCGACGGAGAGGCCAATGATGGTTGAAGTGCCGACACCCTTGCTGCTGTCTCCGTCGCTCTGGTCAGCGCCAGCTGTCGGACTTGTTGACGGAGAAGAAGAGCTTATGGCAGAAGCGGGTACTGTAACGACCACCGTTATTGCCTGACCCTCGTTGTTGATTGAGACTGAGCTGGAGAGAATGGGAGAAGCGGGTGGTGTGTTTGCGGGCGGAGGTGTGTTCGTATTGGTCGGGCTCGAAGGGCCTGACGGAGGTGAGGTAGACGTCGGGCTTGCGCTGGTGCTCTGAGGCGTGGTGTTTGTGTTTGAGGTTGCAGAGGGCTGCGTCTGTGAAGGAGTTTGTGCGGGTGTGGCTGTCGTAGAGCTCGTGGTAGCGGCGGCGGTGCTCGATGTTTGCGCTGTGGTTGAAGACGTCTGCGCTGTGGTGCTCGTGGATGTAGCTGTACTCGAACTCTGTCCGCCGCTCGTACTGCCGCTGCCGTCTCCACCCGGCCCTGGTATATTGATCAAGTCCCGTGGTGCTATCTGGTGACTCTCTGAGGTACCGAGGAGGTCATAGCGGGGGACGAGCATGAATATGAGGAGACATGAAACACATGTGAGGAAGACAAGGGATCGAGCTGGAGTTAAAGGCCTAAGCATCGAGCTAGAAAAGAACGTTATTAAAAGTGAGTGTTGTACTGCGCCACGGCTCTCGAGACTTTAGGTTGTCGGCGTCGGCGTCGGTAGTGGTCGTGGTGTTCGATGGAAACCAGCTTGTCAACGACGCACAAGTGAAATGAAGGCGGACGAAAGCTGTGATATATTTATTTTAGCCCCGTTAGTCGCGTTACTCGGCGCGAAAAATCCATAAATGGAAAATCCCGCGCAAACGAAAACAAAATAATTCTCTCATTCGACATCGCTTCCCAGTTCTCTGATGTTGGGACCACCGCAGCGCAACCAAGGCTGTGTCAGTCATAATGCACGGTCTCACAACTCCGCCGTGGTCAAAACGTTGCCCACGTAATCGCGCCGAGAGAATGAAGTGTACAATGTCACATAGCATGGATAATGTTGAGTAACAGACGACGGCCAGCAACCATTATTTGCTATAGTGCGTAAGATGTGGGATGCATGAATGAATAGTGTCCCTTGTGCATGGAATGGATGAGGATGTTAGTAACCAATACTCAAAGATGTAGAGTGTGTTGCACAGTCCCTTCATCACAAGCCGCCAGCAGGAGCCTTGTCGCACTGTCCTCCAGACAGAGGGCCAACGGGCCGTGGCGCCATCATTAGCTGCGACGCGCGAATTAGACTGATGAACACGGTAAAATAGAGCTCTAACACGTACGCGGATGGTTTGAATGGAGGTGTAGGCCGCAGCAATGAGACCAAAGACCATAAGAGCGATATCAGCTAGCTTTTGCCTCCGCGTGCGAGCACACGCTCTGTAGTGCAACATGGCGGGATAAACATAGCACAGCGGCACGCTTCACAGGATATCGACTATGAGATGCAGGACGATGCGAGGGAGTAGCAACACTCACCAAGCAAAGCTTCCGACAAACGAGACGAACTTGTCTAGGTCGGCGGCACCAACATAGCTGAGCCCGGCACAGAACATCACCGTTAGGAATCGAAAGATGTTCTTTTGCCACTTGACGCGAGGATTCATCTTTCCGCTGCGCTCGAAGATGCCATTCTCCATGATGCGAACAGCAGGGAACAGCTGAAGCGGCACTGAAAGCATGATGGCGAGCGAGTACAATAACTGCACTACCTGCGTAAGCTTGCTTGTGGTGTCGAGGTTGACGATGACCACGGTCTGGACGTTCGCACCAAATGTCAGATACGACATCACACCCGCGCCGCAAAACAGGACTGATAGCAGAGTTAGATGTTTCAAAAAAACTGTTTGTATCTGAGGTCTAGACTCACCCATGAGAGTGATCATCACTCCCGAGAGGACAGCCGGAAACTTGCGAGGTTCCTTCATCGCGTCCGTGATAGGAATAACCTAGACTGCGGCGTTAGGAGAGATGACAGGCCAAGCCGGGACGCGGACTCACAAGACCGATACCTTCAAAGGAGAAGACGGCTGTTCTAATGATCGAAGTCAATTGACAATCTGACGACAATAGACGTGACGCTTACCCGATGAGCAGCGGCCAGTCCTTAGGGTTAAAGAGCTCGACTTGTGCGGGTCCCCGTTTAGCCACGATGGCGGCTTCGCTCCCAAAGATGTAGATCAGTCCAGCCAGGATGAAAGCATCGGCGACGAGAGCAGTGGTACTGAGCTTCGCGAGATTTCTAATGAGAACCAGGGGTAGGAAGATGATCATTTGCAGAAGGATAAAGTACTGGATTCCGAGCAGCTTGGCGCAGTTCGTGATTGCCAGGACGAAAGCTTGAAGGTTTTCAGACACGAAGATTATGTATGCGCTGACGAAGCCGATTTGCGAAAGAGTGATGGATGACAGAATAGCAAAACGCATCCATGGACCGTAAAGCGCGCCGCCGATGTCACCAAAACTGCCAGAGACCACGAATTTCGCCTTGATGAGAAGCAGGAACGAGTACAACGAGATGAGGGCAATGAACGTAAGAATTGCCGACGAGAATAGGATGCCACCGTTGAAAAAGCTGAGGAGAAACATCACTTGATAAATCGATGCAGCGCAGGTATACGGAGATTACTTACGCTTTGCCAAGGAATAAAACGCCAGTTCCAACGAAAGACTTCAAAAGCTGTAGGTCGACTAATCAATCTCAGTGTACCGTATGACTGTCTTTCTGCACTTACCATGAGCACCGCCTGAGTGACCGTGGCGTCACCATGCGGGCCTACGCTTGGACGGCGCCTTCGAGATGCCGACCTCCGCAGGAGCGGAGATTGCTCCGTGGGTTTCGACGCGTCGCCAACAGGTGCTCCCATCGAAGATGAAGGGATGGCGTCCTCCCCGTCAGGGAGGGAAGAGGTAGCTCCGTAAGGAGTTTGGTCGGGAGCAGGAGTGCCTGCATAGTATGGGGTATAGCCCTCTTCATCGACCTCCTCAAGATCCTCTCCAGCCTGCAGCAATTGGATCAGCCGACCAGCACGCGACGCATGACTTGCCGCTTACGAAGTGCCCAAAAATGTAGAGGAATTCGATGAAGTTGCGCAACATGTGCGGCTCCTCCACACCCCGTTGCTGAGCCTGCAAGGCGACATAGTTCCGCCTAAACCCGCCAGGCTCGTGAATGTGCTCGAACGTCGGGTGAGGCGCAGACGTCGTCGATCCAGCGTACGACGCGGCGCGAGGGCGAGTTATTTGCCGATGCTTGTCGGCATGCCACTTGTATATGCCATGACTGTGGCAGATATATCGTCAGCGCGATTCTTCGTGAACGATACGGTGGACACTGCGGCTCCAACGACATCCGATAGGACACACGTGCGTCCACACTCGAGTCACGAGAAAGATCACCCAAGGACAACTCACGTTACATCTGCGCCCGGCGCGTGGTATGGTACAGGGAATGGCTCCGTATCTTCACGTTGAAGGCGTAATTGCGACGAAGAAGGCTGTTTCGAGAGTTGGCCGCTGTCTGAGCCGGCGCTGAAAGAGCCCCGAGGAAGGTCGGGGGGATGATCTTCGCGAGCGATGAGATGCTTGCGGATTATCCTGGCCTTCTCTTCGTCAGGGAGATCATCCAGGAGATTCACCTCTCCGCTAGCAGGAGTGCCGGGTCTGCGAGCAGACGAGGTTGGGACGGCCATCGAAGGTCTCCGCGAGGATCCCTCGCCTGGAGGAAGCGGGCTAGTAATACCCAGGCCTCTAGGCGTGCCGAATGGTGTTGATCGCGAGGGAATGTTAGGTGGAGGCGGCGTCCCAGTATATTGTGCTCGTAGCATACGCGGAGTTGGGGAACCAGATATGCTCGGACTGCCACTGGTGAAGTCATTGACATTGAGCCTTGGACTGTCGCTCCTAATGTCTAGAGGCCTGGAAGCTGAGGGTTTGTTGGACGATGGCGGAGACATGATGAGAGATGGTAGTGGTCGAAGAGAGAACGACGAATGTGGAGCCTTCGCGTTCGTCCAGGCTTGACCAGCGGCGCTCTACTACCGGAGCGCCGTTTCGTTTCGGGCGTCCGTATGCTTTGATACCCGACTAGCGTCGGCAAAGTTCTCGTTGGCAATCCTCCTGCTCCGCATGTCACAGCGTGCACAGGCCTATCGAGAGTTTGCGCCCGGAGTACGTGCTGCACTATTAGCTATAGTGAAAATTCCTGCAGAGATTAATGGTGCTAAGGTATCAAATAGCGTCAGCCTTGATACTGTCGAATGCGGAGTGGTGGCCGCGTTCGTCGGTAGGAGCTTAAGTGCTGAAAACATGCTTATAGTCGCACACCCGATTTCAAGCTGGCAGACTGCATCCTGTTCTAACACTGGGGCTCTGACATATTCGCCGCCGCCCGCGTGATGCAGATAGTATGATTCTTCCGAATCTTTCTCAGGTGGTCCTTAGCTCACTGTCAATTAGTATTTTCAACAGCGGCCTCATGTTTCAATCGTCTATCAATGGCACAAGCTTCTTCTGGGCTGCTGACAATCCAACCAGTGATAAGTCGATAAGTCTGCATGTGTGATGCTGCGGAGAATCAAATTTTCGATGAAATCCAGTATAGATAATATTGCGTCACCATCATCGACGCTGCGGGTAGTAAAGCGCAGAGTACCGCTGACATGAGATTTACAGCTATTGTGGTCTCCATATTCGTGCGCACCTAGTGGTTCTTAACTACAGCGCTTGAGTCGTCTTTGGAACCGCGGCTGCAAAGCAAACTACCGAAGTTGAACTACGGGATACAACCCGCCGAAAAGGCTCCAAGCGCAGCGAGTATCTTCGCGGAAGCCCTATACAGACCAAGCATATAAAAATAGCCAGCATGTCTGTAGTACTTTTGAGAAAACGGTAAAGCAATAGATCAAACGTATAGATCCCTCGCGCCACCATTGTTGCTCCAAGTGACCTGGTTCGCCGCCGATCCGTGAGTTGAAATGACTTCCGACGGTCCCCAGTCAAGGCCAGAGCCCCGGGCATTATGCATCAGGTCATCTTTGAACTATGAGCTACTTAGGACGCGACAGACGTTTCGAAGTATAAATCCTCGATATCTGGACGAGCAATGTACGGTTGTCATACAGCCTCTCGCGTTCAGAAGTATCCGGGGTCCTTTTGCCTCAGGGCACCGCTCCGAGCCGTGCGACCTGGAAAAATTATCTGATCTCCCTTCACGCGTCCATCATGTCTTTATCTTCGAGATAGCTCATTACACGCGACAGGGTTCAGAAAGCCATGCCGAGCTTCGGAACCTCGAATGACTCCCTGATCTCCCTCCATGCCTCCATCACTTCCCGGTCCTCGCCCTCAAGAGACTGTACGCTCTTAAATTCGTTGTCATCAGGGAAGATGCTGCTCTCGACGGGGCAGATGGTGCCGTTCTTCGGCAGCTTGCCCTCCCTGAAATACTCGCGAATGGCCTTGGCGGTGCAGACGGATGTCGCAGTCGGTGAGCAGTGCTGTGTGACGAGGGCATCAGACCGAGTTCATGAGACCAGATATAGACGCACCCCCACAGAGTCTTGATGCAGAACAACAGAGTTGTTGAAGCCTCGGGACATTTTCCGGGCACTAAACGAAATCAGTCAAGGCTGGCGGAACGAAGAGACGTGTAGGCGGCGTACTGTGCCAGGGGCGTCACAGGATCAGCAGTGTTGCCAATGAGGAGAATCGGGAAGGACGTGTTTCCGACAAATGGCCCCGCGAATCGCTCTACAGTCCTCGCCTTCCACCCACTACGGCATCGTGGACTCATCAGATACAGCACCTATACAAAGACATAAAGTCAACACTTACGTGCAATACACTCTTTCTGGCCACTGGTCCGCAAACTCTGAGCCCGCACGCAGCCGCACGAAGTGCTCCTCGAGATCCTCGATCGTGTCCGCGGCGCGCGCCGGATCGGAATCCGCGCACGCAATCGCGAAGACTGCGTCGGCCGTGATATAGGCTGGCGGCGGGCGCGAGTTGTCAGAGCACTCGCAGGTGAAAGGCGCATGCACGGGCACAATGCCGAGCAGGCGCGCGAGCGGCAGCCCGTCGCCCTTCTCAACCTGCGCGAGCGCATGCAGGAGGTCCATGGTCGGGTGGTTTGCTTTCTCGGTCGTTACGCCGCCGTATGGCGCGTGGAGCAGCGCAAAGAGCGCCTGACGAGCAAGCTTATAGTCGACTAGGCCATACTCTTTGCTCGCCTCGTTGTTGTACACCGGCAGAGGCCGTTTCTGAAGGCTGTCGAAGATTGCTGTGAGGCGAGCGTGCACCTGATCAGTAGTGGACTCATAGAGCGCGCATCTGAGAGGGCCTGAGGCAATGCAGGCGTCGAGGATCATACGCAAGGCCAGGTCAGCGTCAAGCAAGCTGTCGGACCAGAGTCCGGAATAGTAATCTTCGGCATCCGCGACACCTGAAACAGCAGTTAATGAGAACCAATCCCTTCGAAATGTATAATAATGTACCGTCGATGATCAGTCGTCCTACATGGTTCTAGACATATGTCAGCGAGCAGACAACCGCTTCCCATTTTTTTGGGTAGCTACTTACGGGGAACATGGCAGCAAATCTGACAGCGGCACAGGTGTCAGCTACCACGCCAACAGGAAAACGGGTAAGAAACATACGTCGCGCCAAGGATAGTCCCATAGCTAACAGCCCACGTTAGCTATCCGAAGGGCCTCACTAACCGTCATAACCTACGAAAATCCCCAATACTGCAGCTTGTCATGTCCATGTGCCCGCATGATATTCAACATGTCCCTCGCAACCAGCGCCGTGCCGACGTACGGTACTGATTCACGTGCCGTCTGGTTCGCGATGCTCCCAAACACCTGCGCCTTGGCCCACAGGCGCGGCACGGCGTCCGTGGTCGTGATCGGCATGGGATCTTCCAGCGCGCGCACGCGCCATGCTGCATCCTCGGCGCTATCGTTGAAGACGGCGACGAGCGGCGTCGTGCGCGAGACGCCACTGTTGCGCATCAGACATGAGTGAAAACGAGAAGGACGGGAGAGACACACCGAGGGTCGAAGCCAACGATATCGTATTCGTCGCCGATCAACTTCTGGAATTTTTCACCTAGACTAAGGACGAGAGTGACGCCTGAGCCTCCGGGGCCACCTGTGGAGTGCATTGTCTATAAGAAGCTCGAAGCGACGCGAATGCATGGCTTCGTACCAGGGTTAAAGAGGATTGGACCTCTGTAATTCTTGTGGCCAGGGGGGAACTTCGACGGGACCTTGATGAGCGAGATCCCAGCCTTGGGGCCGTCTGGCACAGCGTAGTTCAACGGTACCTGTGATGCGGTTTAGTATACGACGAAGGAAGTTGAGGAAGGGCTTGCCATCATTCGTGCACATTGCGACTGATTGTAGCATGATACCCACACCAGCGAATCAACACTGCTGGGTGGCACCTGCTCACAGGACTCAGCAGAGCACAGAAATATGTGATAGTATGGGCATACACTATCCCAGACGAGCTCTGGGTCATTCGACGCAAAGGGTACCCCTCGCGTTGGAGGGACCGCGTACTTTGCCACCAGTGTGCTCACGAACACTTTCGCGAGCGCGACGGTCCCCGCGAGGAGCACGACGCGCCATACGAGCGTCCAACACGAGCCCTCTCTGGACCTCTTCTCCTCGAACGGTGGATCAGGGACTTTGGAGTTCATGATGCAGATGAAGACGAAGGCGCGAGCATGGATTAGATCAGTCGAGTCTTATATGCTGGACCGTGAGACGTGAGCGCAGCCCTTGCCACAGACGGGTGCAGCCCTGGGACCTGAAGTTCCTGAAGGGTGGCAATGTCACATTGACTCAACAAGTACCGTGTGCATTGTTGCGCGAGATAGCGGGCGGGACTTTGATATAGCGAGCGGGATTTTGATACAGCGGGCGGGAACTTGAGATAGCGGGCGGGAGTTAGCCCGTGAGGGCGACACGCGAAGCATGCTTGACATCTGGGGTCATGGACGCGGGTACGTCCTGGTCTGTTCGCACTATAGGTACCACTGGTAGAAATAAGTATACGAGTCAAAGGAGAAGTACATACGGCCACCACATGCGCATATCGAACCTATTTATGACATATACAAAAAGCAGCGGCCGACAAAACATACGACGCTCGTCGTTGGCTCGTCGATCGCGAGCCGTTACGTCTACCGTAATCCGGTCCTTCTTGAGAGGAAGTGCTACGACGGTCCGTAATTGACTATAGCGACTGTCGCTGAACCTGACCGTGGCTTTCCTGTAGGCAGCTCTCATGGGTGCTACCTTTGAATGGTACTGTCGTGCGTACAAGTTTGCAAAGAGTTTACGATTCCAGCCGCGCCGTTCTCTCACCAAACGGGGTCGGGCCGAAGAGATTATCTAGCCGCTTAACGAGATCAGGCCAATCAGGCGCGATCATGGGACTGTAAACGAGTAAGCCTATCCAGTAGTCATGATAAGCAGATTGTTTAATCTGCTTTTCTTAACTCGTTTGCGTTGCTTACTGTGAGCGCTTCATGACTGATCTTAGACGGACATCACGAGCAAACGAACAATTTCCCTCTTCTCATGGCTCCCATAGTTCAAAGAGCATACTTGACATGTCGGGGTTCAGAAAGCTAGACTGAGCTTCGGGAGCTCGAACGACTTTCTGAACTCTCTCCACATCTTCTGGTCCTCACCCTCAAGAGCCTGCATGCTGGGGAAGATGCTGCTCTCGATGGGACAGATGATGCCGTTTTTCGGCAGCTTGCTCTCTCTGAAGTACTCACGGATGACCTTGGCAGTGCAAATGACGCCGCTGCAAGCGTGCAATGCCGTACAACGGGGGTAATGAGCAGTGTACACGAGACATGAACAACGGCGGCTGGACGTACTCCCGCAGAGTCTTGGTGCAAGACCACAGAGTTGTTGAAGTCTCGGGACAGTCTCGGGACATCTTCTGCGCGCTGAACCGAGATCAGCCAAGGTCCATAAAATGCAGAGACTTGTCTACGACGTACTGTGCCAAGGGTGTCACGGGATCGGCAGTGTTGCCGGCGAGGAGCACCGGAAAGGGCGCGTTCCCGACGAACGTTCCCGCAAATAGCTCTACAGGCTTCATCTTCTATCCGCGACAGCATTGTATACTGCAGCAGTAGAAAGAAAGAGCTTACGTGCAGAGCACTCGCAGCGGCCACTGGTCCGCAAACTCCGAGTGCTTGCGCATCTGCACGAAGTGCTCCTCGAGGTCCTCGACCATGTCTGCAGCGCGTGCAGAATCGGCTTCCGCGCACGCGATCGCGGCATATACGCCGGACGTGACGATGCTTGGCGGGCACGGGTCGTCGGGGCACTCGCACGTGAACGGCGTGTGCAAGGGCACGAGGCCAAACATGCGCCCAAGCAGCAGCCCGTCGCCCTTCTCTAGCTGTGCGAGTACATGCAGGAGTTTCATGCTCGGGTGGAGGGTCGCGCGGCCGTACGGCGAGTAGAGCTGGCAGGCGTCGAGGATCGTGTAGGGCCAGGTTCGCGTCGAGCAAGTTATTGGACCACCGTCCAGAGTAGTAATCATCGGAATCGACGACACCTGCACATGCGGTCTCAACATGGGCGCCGACACGACGAATGTCGGGATTGTCGTGGGTCTGCAACTCCGGTGGGTCAGCGCGGCCGCCTCACGCGCCAATGGCTCAATTAGGCGCACGCCGTTTCTCTGTTCCCTCAGGCTCTGCCAGCCCTCAGCTATTGATGGCGTCCTTGCGCGCGATGTGGGGTTGGGAAATGCGATAATCGGCCATGCGCATGATCTGTGGCAGGAACTGCAGAATTCGCCCGGGGGTGGAGACATGCACCGCCGCGACTGGCTTGTCATCCCCCTTCGCTCTGCTCCCAAGACCCTCATCTGGCATGATGAGGATTACGATCGGATAGACCTGGATAATGAAGACATTGAAGAGAGGCGAAAGTGCAGGAAATTTAATTGGTGCGCCGATGGGCCTTGTCATCCCAATAATACCGCGCGCGTAGGTTTCTTGGGGGTTTTGTTTTCGTGCGTTTCGCGCCGCAGGCCCGAAAAATGGCAAATGATAGTGTTAGCAGATAGGAACATGAAAAGCGGTAGCACTGTGTGTGACGCTGTGAAGGACACTCCTTAGAGCGGGAGCTGCTTGACCGGACGACGGGATTCGACGGGATTCACACAATGGGCAAATCCCGTATTTAGTTCCTGGGCGGGGCGCGAGTCATGCATCCAGTTTGCCTCGTTGTGTCAGCACGATCCCGCCTGAAACGTCGCTTTAGGACCCGAGTCCGCACCTCTTCAGGCTGTCCTCCAACGTCTGAGTTGCCATCAAAGTCAGTCTGAAGCCGAACTTTGAAACCCTAATTTGCGACATTTCGAGTCGCAACGGCCGTAGTTGTAATGAGACCCGCCTCGCCTCACGAAGCTCTGTGCACGATGATGCACTCCAGGATCATCATGACGCGTAAGTGCCTGCTGGACAGGCCTCCGATGTATATAAGCTCGCCCGACTGCCATAGCCAAACCACACATTCCCTACCTCTCTTGGTCCGACGACCCCTCACAGCTCTTTCGACTCCACGTTACTCACATCACAATGTACTTCACCATCTCCTTTGTCTTGGCTCTCGCTGCCACGACTGTTGTCTCGCTGCCGTCCCCCAAGGACCGGCGCGAGGTCCGCATCGCCCGTCGTGCCCCCGGCGTCCACGAGGCGAGCAGCAACTTGAACCCTCAGCCCGGGATCACCTCAGGCGTGGCCGGCGTCGTCATGAATGGCTCTGCAGTATGTCTCATCTTATGTCTCTGTGCGATGCGTGTGCCGACAGGCTTGATTTCCGCATAGGGCTCGTTCTCGAGCGTGAAGGCATCGTTCGTGATTCCGACGCTTACGGTGCCTGAGGGCGGGGACCCGGCTACCACCTTCTCCGCAGCCGCCTGGGTCGGCCTTGATGTCGACACCTGCCAGACCGCCAGCCTCCTGGCTGGTATCGCCTCCAGCATCTATCCCGATGGTTCAGAAATCTCTGGTGGTTAGTCCGCGCTCCTTGCCCTCCTCCTCGCATGCTGACCAACCATCCATAATTTCGCAGCTTATTACCAGTCTTCCCTTGGCGCCATGGTCGGCATTCCGGGCATCAGCCTCGCAGTGGGCGACAACATCACAGTAACTGTCACTGCGACGAACGCGACGTCGGGCACAGTGGTCATTGTCAACCAGAGCACGGACCAGACCGTTTCCGAGGTCATCTCTACAGGCACTCTGTGCGGGCAGGACGTAGACGTGGTCGTACAGGACTTCTCCACCAGTGGGGGGTCCCAAGTCCCCTTCGCTGACTTTGGCATGGTCAACTTCACTGATGTATCTGCCGAGACACCCTCAGGCACTGTTGGCATCACCGCTCCGACCATTTTCGACATAGGCCAGAACGGCACTATTATTACTTCCGTCTTGGTCTCGTCCTCGAGCGTCATGGTCGCTTACCTCTGATGCGGCAGAAAGAATGTAGGTTTCGGGGGTCTCGGGAAGTGGAAAGGAGATGATGTATAATTTATTTGTATATCCCGCGTGCTACTAGTAGAAGCATCGATATTTAATTAACACCGCTTGCATGGCTGGTTTGTATATCCTGCGTGTAGTCAGAAGGACCGATATACATTCTGTACCTGACGAGCCCATGGTGTCGTAGTGGGTGGAAGGCGAGGGCTGTAGAACGGTTTGCGGGGCCATTTGTCGGAAACACATCCTTCCCGATGCTTCTCATTGGCAACACTGCTGACCCTGTGACACCCCTGGCGTAGTACGTTACCGATGGTCCTCTTCGTTCCGTAAGCCTTGGCTGATTTCTTCCAGTGCCCAGAAAATGTCCCGAGGCTTCAACAACTCTGTTGTTCTGCATCAAGACTCTGCGGGAGTGCGTCTATGTCTGCTCTCATAAAATTTGTCTGACGCCCTCTTCATACAGCACTGCTCGCTGATCGCGACGTCTGTCTGCACTGCCAAGGCCATCCGCGAGTACTTTAGAGAAGGGAAGCTTCCGAAGAACGGCACTGTCTGTCCCATTGAGAGCAGCATCTTCCCCAGCGACAACGAATTTAGAAGCATGCAGACTCTTGAGGGCGAGGACCGGGATGTAATGGAGGCGTGGAGGGATATCAGAGAGCTATTCGAGGTCCCGAAGCTTGGCATGGCTTTCTGAACCCTGTCGTATCCGGATGAGCTATCTCGGGACTAGGGTACGAGGCCCACCGCAAGCGCTCACAAACTGCACCTGTACGCGAGTTTTATCCAACGATACAAGGAGTGTCGAATAAATATCGGTTCTTCTAACTAAACACGGGATATACAAACAAACCATACACCACCACCCCCTTTCCACTTCCCGAGACCACAAAGCTCATGCGCGTTTCACGGACGTCTCGCCCCCTCGCTTGATGTCCCCTTAAAGTGCGCCTGAAGTGACTTTGAATTCACTTTGATGGCGGTTTGGCACTGATTGAAAGGACTGGCGCGGCTTCGGGGTGTTGAAGCAACGGATCATACAGAATCCCCGGTCTTCCCGCCCAGGCGGCTCGCACGTGGCAGCAGACGCGGGCATTTTCGGTATAGCACCGTTTGCCGCCGTCGTCGGTGTTCAGAGTCCATGCACGTTTCATCCAGCGATATAAGCAGTGTCGCACCCATGTGAAAACAAAAGTCAACACTTACGTGCAATACACTCTTTCCGGCCACTGATCGGCAAACTCTGAACTCGCATGCAGCCGCACGAAGTGCTCTTCGAGGTCCTCGATCGTGTCCACGGCGCGCGCCGGATCGGAATCCGTGCACGCAATCGCGACGAACGCGTCGGCCGTGACATAGGCTGGCGGCGGGCGCGGGCTATCAGAACACTGGCAAGTGAACGGCGCCTGCAGGGGCACGATGCCGAGCAGGCGTGCGAGCGGCAGCCCGTTGCCCTTCTCAACCTGCGCGAGCGCATGCAGGAGGTCCATGGTCGGGTAGCTTGCATTTCCGGCTTCCAGGCCGCCGTATGGCGAGTGGAGACGCATGAACAGTTCTCTATGGGCGAGCTTATAGTCGATGAGACCATACTCCTTGCTCGCCTCGCTGTTGTACACCGGCAGAGGCCGCTTCTTGAGGCTGTCGAAGATTGCTGTGAGGCGAGTGTGCACCTTGTCTGTGGTGGATTCGTAGAGCGCGCATCTGAGGGGGCCTGAGGCGACGCAGGCGTCGAGGATCATGCGCAAAGCTAGGTCTGTGTCAAGTAAGTTGTTGGACCAGAGTCCAGAATAATAATCCTCTGCATCTGCGACACCTAAAACAGCAGTTAGTTAAAACCTCTTCGAAATTCACGATACCGCACCATCAATGATCAATCGTTCTACATGGTTCTGGACATAGGTCAGCCAGTAGACAACCGCTTTCCATTATTTTGGCTACTTACTGGGAACATGGCAGCAAATCTGACAGCAGAGGTGTGAGTCGCTACTCCGACAAGAAAACGTGTGAGAAACGTACGTCGCGCCAAGGATAGTTCCGTAGCTAACAGCCCACGTAACGACGTTAGTATTCGAAAGGTCCCACCAACCGCGATAACCTACGAAAATCCCCAATACTGCAGCTTGTCATATCCATGCGCCCGCGTGATACTCAACATATCCCTCGCAACCAGCGCTGTGCTGACGTATGGTACTGATCCACGCGCCGTCTGGTTCGCGACGTTCCCAAACACCTGCGCCCTGGCCCACAGGCGCGACACGTCCGCGGTCGTGTCCGGCACGGGATCTTCCAGCGCGCGCACGCGCCATGCTGCATCCTCGACGCTATCGTTGAAGACGGCGACGAGCGGCGTCGTGCGCGCGACGCCGCTATTGCACGTCAGGCCGAGATGTAAATGAGGAGGATGGGAGAGACGCACCGAGGATCGAAGCCGACGATATCGTATTCGTCGCCAACCAGTTTCTGGACTTTCGCACCTATTCTGAGGACGAGGGCGACGCCTGAGCCTCCGGGGCCACCTGTCGAGCGCATTGTCTGTGAGGAGTTCGAAGAGACGCGAAGGCACGGTTGCGTACCGGGATTGAAGAGGATTGGGCCTCTATAATCCTTGTCGCCAGGGGAGAATTTCGACGGGATCTTGATGAGCGAGACCCCAGCCTTAGGGCCATCTGCCACAGCGTAGTCTAACGGCACCTATAATGTTGTTCAGTACACGACGAAGACGTTGAGGAGGAAGGGCTTGCCATCATTCGTGCACATTGCGACTGATTATAACACGGTACCCACACCAGCGAATCAACACTGCTAGGCGGCACCTACTCAAGGAGCTCAGCAAAGCACGGAGACATGTAATGGCGCAGGCTTACACTATCCCAGACAAGCTCTGGATCGCTCGGCGCCAGGTGCGCCTCTCGCGGTGAAGGGAACGCGTACTTTTCCACCAGCATGGTCACGAACACTTTCGCGAGAGAGACACTCCCCACAAGGAGCACGATGCGCCACATGAGCGTCCAGCGCGACTCGGAGTCCACTCTGGGCTTCTTCTCCTCGAGTTGTGGGTCAACATCTTTGGAGTCTTTGTTCATGATGCAGGTGTAGACGAAGGCGCGAGAGTGGGTTGGGCCAGCTGCTGGGAACTTAAGGGCGGCAATTAATGTCACATTGACTCAACTAGTACCGTGTGCATTGTTGCGTGAGATAGCGGGCGGGGAAAGCCCGTGAAGACGACGCGCGAAGCGCAGTTGACATCTGGGGTTACGGGTGTGGGTGTGTCTTGGTCTGGTTGTACTAGGGGTTTCATAGGAATATACGGGGCAAAATAGAAGTATATTCAGTCACCGCATACACATATTGAGCCTCTTGCAGCATTCGCGGCCGACAAAGAGAGATGGCGCTCGTGGCTCAAGAGAGATTATCTAGCCGCTTGACGGGCCGATCAGGCGTGATCATCAGTAAAAGCAAACTAACCGATAAGTAAATGGGTAAGCCAGTCCAGTAATTAAGATAAGCGGATAGTAGTAATCCACTTTTCTTGACTCGCTTGCATTGATTACAGTGAGCGCCTCCCGACCGACATCGCGGGCAAACGAGCGATTTTCCTCTTTTCATTCTTCCCATGATGATCCCGGGTTCAATGACCATGATAGGGTTCAGAAAGCTAGACCGAGCTTCGGGACGTCAAACGACTCTCTAATCTTCCTCCATGCCTCCATCACCTCCCGGTCCTCGCCCTCAAGAGCCTGTACGCTCCTGATTTCATTGTCGCTGGGGAAGATGCTGCTCTCGACGGGACAGACAGTACCGTTCTTTGGAAGCTTGCCCTCTCTGAAGTACTCACGGATGACCTTAGCAGTGCAGATCGACGTCGCTGCAAACGTGCAATGCTGCACAACGGGGGCAATGAGCAGTGTATACAAGACATGAAAAATGGCTGGACGTACTCCCGCAGAGTCTTGATGCAGAACAACAGAGTTGTTAAACCCTCGGGACATCTTCTGCGCACTGAAGCGAGATCAGCCAATGTTCACAAAATGCATAGGCCTGTTTGCGACGTACTGTGCCAGGGGTGTCACGGGATCGGCAGTGTTACCGATGAGGAGCATCGGGAAGGACGTGTTCCCGATGAATGGTCCCGCAAATCGCTCTACAGGCTTCACCTTCCACCCGCTACAAGATCGTACATCCATTAGGTCGTGCAGGAGCAGCAGAAAGCAAGAGCTCACGTGCAGAGCACCCGCAGCGGCCACTGGTCCGCGAACTCCGAGTGCTCGCGCATCCGCACGAAGTGCTCCTCAAGGTCCTCGACCGTGTCGACAGCGCGTGCGGGATCGGCGTCCGCGCACACGATTGCGGCGAGTGCGCCGGGCGTGGCGACGACCGGCGGACGCGGGTCGCCGGGACACTCGCATGTGAACGGCGCGCGCACGGGCACAATCCCAAGCAGGCGCCCGAGCGGCAGTCCGTCGCCCTTCTCGAGCTGCGCGAGCGCGTTCAGGACGAGCATGCTCGGGTACAAGGTCGCGCGGCCGTACGGCGAGTAGAGCTGGCCGAAGAGCGCGAGCCGCGCAAACTTGTAGTCGACAAGGCCGTACTCTATGCGCGTCTCGTTGCTGTACACCGGCAGAGGTTGTTTCTTGAGGTTGTCGAAGATGGCTGTGAGGCGGTCGTGCACCTTTTCTGTGGTGGATTCGTAGAGTGCGCAGCTGAGGGGGCCGGCGGCGACGCAGGCATCGAGGACTGTGTGTAAGGCCAGGTCCGTGTCGAGCAAGTTATTGGACCACAGTCCAGAGTAGTAATTCTCGGAGTCGACAACACCTGCAGCAGTAGTCAGCCAAAGACAATCCCTACAGGGCGTAAGATACTGCACCGTCAATGATCAGTCGTCCTACGTGATCCTAAGTGTGCATTAGCAACCAGAATGACGCATGTCTACTGCTTCCTCGACTACTTACTGGGAACATGGCAGCAAATCTGACGACACAGAGGTTAGGATGTTTCATTAAAAGAAGAAAGAGACTCACGTTGCTCCAAGCACAGTTCCATACCTAACAATTCACATCAGCTAGTGCAAGCGTCCCACCGGCTGCCATGACCTACGAAAAACCCCAGTACTGAATCTTGTCAAACCCATGCGCCCGCATGATATTCAGCATGTCCCTCGCGACCAGCGCCGTGCCAACGTACGGCGCAGACCCTTGGGCCGTCTGGTTCACCAGCATCCCGAACACCTGGGCCTTGGCCCACAAACGTGGCACGGCGTCGGCCGTCGTGTTCGGCACGGGGTCCTCCAGCTCGCGTAGGCGCCACGTCGCATCCTCGGCCTGATCCTTGAAGACGACGACTGGGGGCGTCGTGCGCGAGACGCCACTAATGCGTTTCAGACTCGTGACGGCAGCAAGAGGAATGGAGACGACGCACCGCGGGTCGAAGCCGACGATGTCGAACTCGTCGCCGATGAGCTTCTGGAAGGTGGCACCCGACCCTGCAACGAAGCCGACGCCCGAGCCGCCGGGCCCGCCTGTGGCACGCAGCGCCCATGAACAAGTGGAAGTATCACGGAAGCACGACTACATACCAGGTTTGAAGAGGATCGGGCCTCTGTAGTTCTTGTCGCCCGGGGAGAACTTGGACGGGACCTTGACGAGTGAGATCACGGCCTGTAGGCCATTTGGTACAGCGTAGTCCAACGGCACCTGTGGTGCTGTTCAGCACCAGATCGTTGGAAGACGAGAAAAAACATGCCATCATTCGTGCACATTGCGACTGATTGTAGCATGGCATCCACACCAACGAATCCACGCTGCTGGGCGGCACCTGCTCGAGGGTCTCAGTGCGTTGAGCGTGTGCAGTGGGTAACGTCATAAACATACACTGTTCCAAACGAGCTCTGGGTCTTCCGGTGCAGTGTGCACATTCTGCGTCGAAGAGAACACGTGCTTTGCCACCAGCGGGCTCACGAACACTTTCGCCAGCGCGAAGGTCCCCGCGAGCAGTACGATGCGCCGCAAGACCGCCCAGCGCGAGCCCTTTTGGGATCTCTTCTCGAGCAGCGTGCGAGGGTCCTTGGAGCCTTCTACGTTCATGGTATAGGCGGTGCGAACGAATGAGTGTGTGCGGACTGGGTCACCTGGCTAGGCTTTTATATACGGGGTCGTGGGACATGACCGCAGCCCGGTGCGGCCCCGAGAAGGGCAACAAGGCGACATTGACGAACATTGACTCCACGGATGCCGTATGGTTTGCTGCGTGAGATAGCCGGTACGGAGGACGTCACGCGACTCGGCGCGGCGCCCAGGGCCGCCGTGGGCGTGTGTGTATCCTGGTCTGTTGGCAAGTGGTAGGAGTGTCACAGAACAATACATGTCACAACGGATGCACATAAGGTCTTACCATAGGCACCGACATGACGAATGTCGGGATTGTCGTGGGCCTGCAATTAAATCTCATGGGTCTCACGCCATCACGCGCCGGTGGCCCAATCACTTCGCTTCGGGACCCGAATCCGCATCTCTTCAGGCTATCCTCCAACGTTTGAGTACCGAGTACTGAGTCGCCATCGAAGTCAGTCTACAGCCAAACTTTGAAACCCTAACTTGCGACATTTCGAGTCGCAACGGCCGTAGTTGTGATGAGACCCGCCCCGCCTCGCAAAGCTCTGTGCATGATGAAGCACTCCAGGACTATCATGGTGCACAGGTGATTGCTGGGCAGGCCTCCAGTGTATATAAGCTCGCCCGACCATCATAGCCAAACCACACATTCCTCGCCTCTTTGGCTCGAAGACACCACAGACCTTTCGACTCTACATCGCTCACACTGCCATTTATCTCATCAACTCCCTTGCATTGGCTCTCGCTGCAACGACCGCCTTCTCGTTGCCGTCCCCCAAGGGCCGGCGTGAGGACGGCATCGCTCGTCGTGCCCGCCGCGGGCACAGCTCGAACTCCAATCCAGATGATAACCCTCAACCCCAGTTCACCCTAGTCAATTCTGGCGCCTTCTCGACCGCGTCTGCAGTGAGTCTCCTTTTATGTCTCTGTGTGATGTGTGTGCTCGACCCCCGCCCAGGACATCAGGCGCCACCGGGTCGTTCACAGTTCCGATAATTAGCGTGCCTGAGGGGCAGGACCTGAATCTCGCCTAGTCCGTAAGCATGATGGTCGGCTATGATTGGTACACCTGCCAGACCAGTGGCTTCCTGGGTGGTATCACCACCACCCTACAGAGTGGTTTGGAGACCGCTAGTGGTCAGTCCGCGCTCCTTGCCCTCCCCCTCGCATGCTGACAAATTATTCATATTTTCGCAGCCTATTACCAGACTTTTCCTGGCGATGTGGTCCCCATCCAGGGCTTCAGCGTCTCGGTGGGTGACAACATCACGATAAGCACCACCGGGACGAACACGACGTCGAGCACGGTGGTCTTTATCAACCAGAGCACGAACCAGACCGTCTCCCAGGCCGTCAATTCCGGCCCTCTGTGCATGGGGGAAGCAGACTGGTTCCCAGATGTGACCTCTTGGTGGGGGATTCGGACCAGCCGTCCCCCTTTGCCGACTTTGGCACGGTCAACCTCACTGGTGCGTCTGCCGAGACCCCGTCAGGTCCCGTCGGCCTCTCTGGCGCGACCACTCTCGAGATACAGCAGAACGACACCGTTCTTGCTTCCGTCTTGGTCTCGAACTCGAGCCTTAATATCGCCTATCTCCAATGCTGCAGAAAGGATGTACATTTTGTAGGCCTCGTGAAGTGGGAGGGAGATGGCGTATGATTTTTTTTGCACATTCTGCATGCTAGAAAGGCTGGTATTTATTCAGCACTGCTCGTATGGTTAGTTTGTATATCCCGTATGTAGTCAGAAGGGCCGATATTTATTCGAAATTACTTGTATAGCTAGATGAAACCCGCGTGGACTTTGAACATCCCTGAC